TTGTAAGCTGTAGGGAAATTCAAATAAGTATTGTTATAAGTAAAATGTGCTAAACACTGGAAAAATAATTACAAATTGATAACAAAGAAAACAAAAAGGCTGAGATGATTGTTTAGGAAATGTACAACTATCAAGCCAGAACATTTTTACCAATCATTTTTAAGGGAAGACAGAAAAACCTTTCTTGTGACTGTTATTTTGCCTCAATTTGCTGTCACTTTATTTCATATGAGTTACATTGTGTAAAAAAATGATATTAGTGGAAACTGTACCAGGGTTGTGCCAAATCTGAGCACTGGTTAGAACATGAAAAAAGTTAACAGTATAAAAGAATAAAACTGTCCACAAAAATCAAAGTTATTAATTTCTCAACTCTCTGCTTCTCCACCTCTCTTTCCTTGTTTCTCTCACCATCCATCTCTCCCCTCAGAGATAGAGATTAGTGTATAATTACATGGGAGATCAGCAAAAAATGGGGGGGAAAGGGACCAGTATATTTTAACAAGGCGGTCGAGGAGGAGTGTCATGAGGGGGAGGAGGTGGCGCGGCCCTCGTCACGGGCCGACTGATTGTCTGCTTTTAATCCTCGACCTCATTATCACCTCCAGGTCCGGCAGTGGCAGTAAATGAATCTATCTGCCGAGTGTCAAATCTTCACACCTTCACCCTGGTAATCACCCCAAGGTGCAAATACAAGAGATAGAAAGAATGAGAAAAATGGAAGGAGAGAGAATATGACCCCAGCATTTCATCAACAAAATCCCCTCATTTCATAATTAGTGCTGTTCATCAATTATGTTATTTCTCTGGCAATTAAAGCTGGTTAAACACGTAGTTTCTGTAAGGTCACAGCGATGACATAAATATATCGATTTTTGTTCATAAAACACCTATTACTGCTGTCATATAAAAACAGTCACGCTTTGACATTTCTCTCTTCACACATTGTACTGATCTCTCATACGTTACTTTTTATTATATATCGTGACCTGGAAACTAAATCTAGAGCAAAGGCAAAGCATCAAAAAGGATGACAGATAAACAATGGCTACAATTTAAATATCAGTATTAAGACGACATTCTTAGGTTTGCATTGAAGTTTATTAACCGGGGATTTATAAAACTGCAGATTTTGCTTGTATTCTTAAAGTGATATCAAAAGAGAAGTACATCCATCTGTTTATCAACAGAAGTATCTAATTAACCAATAGCATGGTATAAATTCTGAGGATTTAGGCATGTAGACATGGTCAAACCTGCTGAAGCTTAAACAAAGCATTAGAACGGCAAAGAAAAAAGATTCAAATGTCAATGTCAGATGGGCTAGTCTGACTATTTCAGAAACTGCTGATCAATTGGGAATTTCCCACACAGCCATGTTTAGGGTTTACAGAGAATGGTCCAGAAAGATGAAACTATGAAGTGAGTGATAGTTCTCTGGGTAAAAATATCACTTTCTGATATCAGAGGTCAGAGCGAAGTTCAAATAATTTTAAACTGGTTTAAACTCAAATGCCCTCTACAGTCACCAGATATTAGTCCAATTAGGACCTTTATGATGTGATGGAATGGGAGATTTCCATCATAGGGTGTGTAGCTGACAAATTTACAGCTTCTGTGTGATACTATCATGTCAATATGGACCCAAATCTCTAAGAAGGTTTCTAGCACCTTGTCGAATCTTTGCTGTGAAGAATTAAAGCAAAACAAGGGGGTTAAAATGAAATGAGTAGAAAGGACAATAAATCATTTTTTAGGATAAGATAAGAAAACCTTTATTAGTCCCACACGTGGGAAATTTGTTAATTTGTTGTCTTATTTTAGTGACAATTAAGAACTCCTTTAATTTAAGAATCACAAAAATTATAATTATACTATAAAAAAATATAGCATGCGAATTAAACACCGAAAAAGGAATATTTAAATTTTATTTAAACATCATCTGTTAGGAGTTAATCAGTTATAACAGAAATGAAAACCATATGTTGCATTGTCTCAGCTCTAAAGATCGTGTGCAGCTTGTGTGTATATTTTATATGAAACCCAAAAAAAAAAAAAAGAAAATTGGATCTGTCTAAACTTATTTCGTAGTAAGAATGCTTCCATTTTCTTTTTATTGAAATATTGCTTACAAGGTATATTCACTTTTTTATTTTAAAGCAAACTGTAAGTATCATTACATATCTCTGTATAGTGACAAATGTTTAAGAGAAACCTTAAAGTGAATTAATATATTAAATCAGTTTCATGATTTTTGAATACTGTTAAACACATTGTACTTGCTCAGTCTTCTTTAACTCGCTTTGCACCAACGCCTACTTAATAACAGTGGAATGAAATCTTCCCCTCAAGACATGCAACCCTTTGCTTCAGTTGTCATAGAAGTTCCTGAAAAAGAGCTTCCAGCTGCAGGAAAATGACTCAGTGATAAGTTGCAATATACTTCCAATGGACATAAGCCCTTTGGACAAATCTAACAAAATCTATGCTACCTTGAAAAACTATAATCATGCATTATTGAATTGGCAAGGATAGTGTGTAATAGAGAGATCCTAAACTCATTCCCCTGTGTGAATTATTAATTGAATTCAAATAACAGACAGAATAATTTTCTTAAAATATCTCAATCATTTTTCACTGGGGCTTAAGATGGGGTAAAACAACAGCGATGCAGTCTGTATGCCTAAAATGTAGACGCACAATGTGATGGAGTGTGATAAACAGGAAAATAATTTACCAGCATCTGCAAAGGATGTGGCACCATGTTGGAGTGGATGATGACCACATAACACCCTCTTTGTTTAATGAGGAAATTCAGAGTTGATATAGTCCTTTCTTGCTTGCTGGCTCTTTTCCAACATGGTGCCACATCTGTCGTAATCATTGTCAGCATTGACTAACAGGCCCGTGTTTATTTGAAACCCATCTTCACTTCCGCTTGGACCATTTCACTGGCTTATCTGCATGTTCGTGCAGCAGAAGAATAGCTGGCTAAATGTTGTACTAAGGCCAGAGTAAAATATGATAATGAGTACAAATGGGATTATTAGGAGGCTGTGTGTCATCAGTCTGACTGATCCACGATGTCAAACTAGCCAAGCAAATTCAATTAGGCCTGCAATTACTCCCTGGCGCTAGTGGAGATGTATTGGAGATGTTAAATATTGATGGAAACATAGATGCCACATTTTTTCATCTCCAAAGGTGAACGCATCTCCTCAAGGTAATCACAAATGCTAAACATGTAGCTTGTCCATTCATCCTGCTGAGAAGATGTTGTGCTGTCATAAAAAGGGTCAAACAGAGGTTCTGCAAATGCACTGCAGGTTTATTTAGACTGTGAAAAATGCACGATTTAATTTCTCTGATATTTTCTTTTTTATGTTTTATGAACTTGAGATTTAATTACGTTGAGCTTGTTGGTAGAAATGATCTATCATAATGTCCTTTTTTGTACCAACATATATAAGAATAAAGGTGGAGGAGTTTGTTGTTAGACATGGGTGGTAGATGAAAAAATTTGAACCTTGCAATGTCACATAATAGCTTTTATGCCAAGAAAGAAATAAACAAGATACTCGATAATCACAAACCCTGTACTTTTGCAATCACTGCCGCACTCATTAAATGATGGTGTACCATCCAAAAATAGGCGAGACAGATTTTTCCCTTGATTCCCTTCACTAGCAAATTACAATGCTACAGATCAACAATACTGTGCAAACGTCTTAAGTCACCTTTCCTTTCTTGGTATTTAAAAGGAAAATGTGAAATGGGTGTAGCAATTTGGTATGAAAACCTTGATTCTTCACTGTCTGAACCCTCTTACACAAACTTTCTTGTAATTTCTTTAAGCAGCCTTCAGGAACAATTTTCCAGGCTTCTTGAAGGACATTCAAATGTCTTCTTTGGATGTCAGCTGCTTTTTATTCCATTTTGACAAGATGACCCCACATGGTGTGCGCTCTGGGGAGGCCAGTCCATGACTGATGATGCTTTTTTGTGTGTTTTGGGGATTACTGTCATGCAACAGTAGGTGGATCAATTGAAAAGATAGATGTATATCTCAGGTCCTGTGGTCCTGACTTTCAGATACTGTTCCTGCACTGTGGATAGTTTTTACCCTTGAAATTTGCCATTTCCATTTCCTTCTAGTTGAGGACACTACTGGGGGACACCACATGCCAAGATATATATCTCAGCATGTCCATGCTTTAGTTCTCAGGTAGTAATTCTCTTGGAATCACCCCATTGGTGCAATAATTATGCCTAATATTATGTCAAACTGTTTTATCTTAGCTTAAGAAATGGGAACAAGGACCGCAAAGTGTGTAAAGATACAATTTTAAAAAATTGCTTCTTTGTTAAGCTGTCTTTCAGAGGATGCTAGTTTTCATTTTGCAGAAAAAAGGTGTCAGACACAATCAGCCAATGTCCAAAAAACAAAACAAACAAAAAACAAAACAAATGAACAAACAAGACTAGAGAACTATTGCTATTTAATAAATTACCAGACAAACGGGAGGAGCACAGTGAGGCCATGAAACTTCCATAGTGCTAGGATTGTATTGACAAGTTAGTGAAGAGAGTGCTGGGTAAACCCAAATCAGACAATAGATCTCTACCATTCATAATAACGTCCAAAACAAACTGTATGTATTAACTGCAGTCATTATTTAAAAAAAACAACAACAGTGCAACAAAAGGATGTTTCAAAAAATGCCTGTTTGGGTACATCTACAAAATAGTGGTCCAGCTGAAAAACTGAGGAACCACTGATCAATATGTTAAGAGATATTGATTTTAAGCAGGGCCCCTCTTTGAGGATTTTGCATGTTAAGTTGATTGGTGATTTGAATTTATCCATAGATGTGGATGTGACGGGGAATGGTTGTCTGTCTCTCCGGGTGAGCCCTGCCATTTACTGGTCCAGGATGTGCAATGCCTCTCGCCCAACGGCAATAACTCCAATGGCCCAAAAGAACAAAACAGAAACATACCTGCTGTTAAACTTCTCAGGGTGCTTCTCTCTCATAACATGGAAACGATGTGCGATTGAGGCATCCTGAAAGACAATAAAATCTTATGTTTTATTGAAGCAAGTTGGTGTAATAGTTTAACAACAGATCATAAGTGGATTACAGTCTTGCAACCTCTAGTTTTGGACACGTTAGTGTATGGAAATCTTTTATTAATTAATTAATAAATAAGCTCTTCTCTACAACAAAGTATTAGGACCTCATTAAGAAAAAAATGTATTTATTATTTTTAGGTTAAAGTCAAAATTCTGAGAATAAAATCAAAAATCTATTTTGAGAAAAAAGTCAAAAGGTGGAGCTTACAGTTGTTCTTTCAAGACAAACTGCCAGTTTTAGTAACAAGGAAGGAAATGATTTCCCTTTTAGCGCATAAACACAATGCGGTGATAAAGTGTAAGGACATTGAAAAGATGGTGCAGAAAGCTACAAATGGTCAGATGGAAAAAACCACACAAAGTTGGACGAGTGGATTTGTACGAAATGAAATGACTGGTAATGGACAGATGCGAGGTTATTGGTGGTTACACCCTCGTGCAATAAAGAAGATGTATGTTGTATCACAAAACGGCAGATCAATTTGTTTCACTAAATCATCCACACAAGGCATTTTGTAGAGGGTACAGTCTTGAAAAAACAACTGTAATCACCACATTTCAAGTTTTTTCTCTTTAATATATTTTTTTAATGTGGCCCTAATAATCCTTTGTACTCATGTCATTACAACAATTAATAGCATGCAAAATTTTATTACGTTAAAGTTTAAATTCATGTCAGCTGATATTTACTCCACACTTCTCAAACATCGCAGGCACATCTTGGACGTCCATGGTGTTTATCGCTATAAGATTACAGGAGCTGTAGTACGCAGAAGGTTGCTAAGCTTTGGATGAAGTTGACAGAGACCCTGATGAAAACATGCTGCTTCCATACGGGCTAATTAATTAAACACATACTGCTCCTAACCACCCTACAGGAAGCTGCTGAAACCTCAGCAACCAAGTTGTTTTCTTTCTCCGTATGTCACTCACCACTCGTCTCTCTGCAGCTCAGATTTTCTCCAATCTACTTCTAAACCTAAATACCTATAATCACATAATACCAATAACATTTTGAATATTGCACAGTTTTTCATAAAATCACAATGCAGTCAAAGGTACTTTTAAATAAACGATTTAAATGTATATGAAGTGTTTCATTTTAGTTTACCTGTAATCTCATTTTTGAAATGGAAAAAAAAAAAAAGACTACTGCCTACTAATAAATTTCCCTTCACAGTGGTATACCTTCTTTGTATTAACCTGGGCATTAACTGTTTAAATGTACTGGAGCACAGCACCGCAGTTTGAGTTGAAATATATTGGATATTTTAATATCAAAGAGCACTTGTGCAAAAATGCTAAACAGGGTATTTAATCGGAACACCAGTAAGCAGGTGAACATGACATATGAACTCAAATATGCTGTAAAGTATGCACAAAACCTCTCTAATGAAGGAAAAACATAAATTTCCTTTAATTTACACTTCCAAGTCCGTGTCAGCAGAAAAATGTGTACTGGCCTTTGTGAAAAACTCTGATGAAAACTTATCTTGCTCTGAAGACATCTCAAGAAAGAGTGAGGGAAAAGTTGCTGTAAACTTTCTGGGCTTGTTCCTCGCCCCCCTCCGCTGAAGCAATCTGTTTTGACCCACTCCATTTTGAGTGGCACTATTGAAACAGCACCTACAGGGAGGACCCCCTGCTAGCTCTCTGTACAGAAATTTAGAAGAAGCCAAAAGAAAAAAAATCAATGGAGTTTCTCTTGATGTCTCTTCAAGACGCTGTAAGCAGAAGACCAAAAGATTTCTTCAAGATCCCCGCAGACTCGCCTCACGCTTCCATCGTGAGCAAGAAAGGTGAGGTGATGGATATATCTGAGAGATTGTAACTTGATTTTCTTACAAACAGGACAATAGCTGCAAACAAGAGAGCAAAAGCTAGGAGAGGTTGTCTCCCCTTTGGTTTGGGTCTATTATCTGAGATCTGTACAAGTGGAGCTGTGGCTTTGCAACAGTAAACAGCGATTTCAAGCAACCCAGAGTGGATAAAGCACTTTGTCGTTCTACATTGCTGTACTGTTTGTTTGCTTTAAATTAAAAAACTTAAAAAAGAAACACTCTAATGCTCCTATAAACAAAATACAGAACATTTACAGTATTCACATATAGTATATATAACAAAATATAATTTTATCTGTAAAAAATGTTTGATAAAAACATGAAAAAGGTCATATACAAATTTACACAGAAAAGCAAAACCTCTATCAAAACAAAAACAAAAATATTATTATATTAGCTTTAATTTATTTAATTTTTTTTTATTCAGAAACACAAATAAAAATAGAAAACAAATAGAAACAACCCCACCTGGAAAGCTTCTGAAACAAAATCACTTTGTGCTTTTGATGTTTTGTTTTACCTCCTAAATTATTTTGTGAAAATCAATTTGGACCAATCTAAAATATAAAATTGAAATTTGCGAATTACAATACTGTAATATTCTGAATATAAAACTATTTTCTTTCCATTCTTGTAATAAATTACAAGTGAGCAGCAGGTGAACAGCTATTTTTTGCTTCCTTGCCCATTGTTTTCTTTTTTAAATTATTCACTATGCACCATGCTAATGCACCAGCGTGCACGGCACATCTCGGTCAAGGGTACGTTCAAAATGTATGTAGTATAAAATGACAAAATTGTTTCAGGCTTCTTTTTTTGCACCAAACACGACTTATCAAGAAATATATTTTCGTTTCAATGGGTTTCAAATGTTTAATTAATATCTAATTATGTTTATCTAAGCAGAATTTGATAAATAACTTTTAAAAAATGTTGTAAGTTACAAAGAGCTTTCTTGGTTGAGTAATTTTAGCTGTTCTGCAAAATTGAGTTGAAAAAAAAAGTTAGTTAGTTAGTTAAGCTGTTGTGTTTGCCTAACTGGATACATTTTACTAGTTTTCTGACTGTATGTGTAAAAACAACACAATAAAACACCAATATGACAGGAGTAGTGGGCCAAACCTTGAACACATGTATGACACATTCTTATGCACTGACCCCCTCACAGGTCTGATCCGTCAGCTCACTCACCCCCCCCCCCCCCCCCCCCCCCCCCAATCACCCCCAGCTGCCCTCAAATAATTACCAATGTAAAAATCTGGCACCCAAATTAATACAGGACATGTGTAATGTCCTCTCATAGCTCAAAGTTTAGTCCAATTATGAGTGGGCTTCAGCGGTTTGATGTGCCTTTCACTACAGTGGAGAGTAATGGCTTTGACAGGAGTGCCAGGGTCATTAGGGCGACTGACTGCATTATGGTAGCGGAGTGCGCTCAGTGATTAGTTCTGTCTCTCACCCCTGGCCCTGATTGAGATCATTACACTTCACGTCACTTCCACATCCTCCCAAAGGGATGGCGTCATTAATTCTCAATCCAACTGGGCCATGGCAGAAGGTTAGGCCGGAAAAATTCAAGAAAAGGAGAAAAAGATGGGCCCTCTTTTTTTTTTTTTTTTAGAAGAAATACCTGTGCTGTGGGACAAGAATGAGATCAGATAAAGTATTGTTCTTTTGTTCTTCGGTTACTATAACGCATTATTGGTGACTGACCAGTATCAGAGCAGTCAGCCAAGTTTAAACATCTCTGGCCTTTATTACAAGGGGACATAAGAAAGAAAGACAGGAAATGCACAAAGCGATGAAGGCCAAAATCTGTCTGGTATGTGCCATAACCACTCTGCTTTTAGGATCCTCCAAATGGATCCTAAAACGAATACAAATTTAAAAGGACTCATGGAAATGACTTTCAAGCATATGTTGCCAGTGACAGTCATCGTCCGAGTTGGCTGCTATTGCTGATCTTTTGATTTCAACAGTGTCATTACAGAAACAATCTACTCTTCATCTGCATAATCTCTGAAGTAATTATTAGCTTGACTTGTCGCATAATCTTTAATGTAATTCTCTCATTCAACGGAAAGCAAAAAATTTGATGCAAACAAAATATTGTATCACACTCAAATCCATAGAGACCTCAAAGTCTTCTTAATCCCCCACAAACAACTTCATTTGTCATCATCGCGCCCACTGTATACTAATCCCACCAACAGAGCAAAGACAATAGGGGTTATAATGAGTTTATGAACCAAAGATGTCAGGCCAAAGACGTTTTCTCTCAATGTTTGCTTCAACAAGAAGCAATCATTAAAGCATTAAAACTTCACGTTTTTTTAGAGTACTGCATGTTTGGTTGACTGCACGTACTAACATTAAAATCCACCACATTTTGAGCAAAATTATGCATCTTTATGTTTCAGTTACACAAGCGTAAAAACAGGATGGCAGCCTCCTTGCAACTAGGAAAAATCAATGGTTACCTGGTGACTACACTGAAGATTGTTACATTTGGCAATCAATTGCGAGTAATTGCTGCGACCAACTGGACACCTAGAGCAGTGGTCCCCAACCCCCAGGCCTCGGACCGGTCCGTGAGATGTTTGGTACCGGGCCGCGAGAGTTGAGGCTCAGGTGTGAAATGTATGGTTTTCAGGGTTTTTATCGGTTTTC